TGGGCTCTAATGCTCCAATCCCTTTGACTCCAAAGCATGCCTAATCCTTGCATCCAATCCTTGCTTTCTTAGCCACGGGAGGACCTGTAAGATGGAAAACACAAATCATAGGAAAGGTTCTAATAGGAGCAAATCGAAATGGGTTAAAGGAGAGGGAATAAAACCTTAGGAAATGAGCCAAAAATGACTCAAAACCACTCCAAGTAACAAATATGCTCAATAATAACAAAACTAAGCTAAAATAGAGGAAAAAGGGCAAACAAAGGGCTCAATCGGGGAAGAAACGAAGTAGAAAAGTGGGCCAAATGGCCACTGATCACTACTCCAATTAAACTAGACAATATGAAAACCTCTATATATTAATTTAATTACAACATAAGAACTACTCAAATTCCCAAAGTAATCTCAACAATCAAACATACATGTTTACTCAATCCCTAGAAAATAAACTACTCAAGAATCATCATCAAATCAACAAGCAATTGTCGCAAAACATCAACAAGTATTGAAGAGGAACTACACTAATCAAGAATCAATCATCAAAACCAAATCAACAAACATGAAATTGACCAAAGCAATAAAGAGGAGAGAGCTAGAGTGAGAAATGCTCATTGATTTATTATGGAGATCTTCAATACAATTGTCATCTTGAATCTTCAATCTCTCAAATAACCATTGAAATCCCTCACTTTCTCTCTCTAAAACTACTCCTAAACTAACCCTATTCTAGATAGAGAAGCTCTCAACCTAAGCTAAAATATGAGAGAGAAATTCTAAGCTAGTCTAAAAGTTGTCCCAAAAATAGAAAGGTCTCAAGTATATATAGCAAGGGAGCAAAGTTGACTCGGCCAACCTGTGGTACGCATGCACAATAGGGTGTGCGCCACTCATGCTCCCTGCTGCGCTCACGCACCATAGTGATGGTTGTGCATTCGGCCTCTTGCTTTGGTTCCAACACTCACAAGCATGCTCCTCATCGACGCTCTCGTATGATGCTCACAAGGGGGGCAGCCTTCAAATCTTCATTTTTGCATGATCATGATCAAGAAATGTGATGATGGTGATGCACGAGAGCGCTAATGCCAAGAGTAGGAGTTTGCTTCTTATCTTGAACTCTAGCCAACCAAATGATATGAGGTCTTGTTCCGAGCATCCAAAAGACTTGGAGAACCTTCCAAAGTAGATCTCGAGACCCCGAACAAAGCCTACAATAAAATAAAGTAAAGATGGTAAAGTAGAAAATACGAAAATACCCTTATTTCACAAGAAAGCACAAAATAAGATAAACGAAGAAACTAAAACATAAGTGAACAAAACAAAGGCATTATTTAAAGAATAAAAAAAAGAAGGAAATCATCCTAAAATGCTACCAAATGAGTGCCGTAAATGACACTCATTAGCAGGCAGGCTGGCTAAGCGCCAACGCAAGGTGGGTTGCACACCCTCTCCACATCCATCACGCTTGCAAAATGGGTACGAAACAGTCCTTGATTGCGCGCCCGCGCTCCCTAAGCAGGACACTTTCTCGGTGCATGCATGATGTAAATGGTGCGCCCCTTATGATAGTCACTAAGTATGGAAGATTCAAATAGACTTTATAGTGGGTTTAACATCGTTGTTTCATGAGAATGCGGCTTGAGAGTGCAAGAGCTAGAACTTGGAGCATGCCACACTCTTACTTCTTGAGCTTTCCCAATGCTATAAGCTTGCTCCAAAGGAATCTTCCTACTTGGTAAGCCACCAATATAAAGACCCGAACCTCATACAATACCTACAACCACAAAAAGAGTACAAAAGATGGAGAAAACACTAGAAAATCCACAAAAGTGGACTAAAACACAAAATAAGAGAGAATAAAGAAACTAAAGAGAAAATGAATAAGACTAAGCATTTATTAAGAAATAAAGCTATGAAAAGAAGGTAAAAACAACCTAAAAGCTCATTGTTTCGGGGTTTTTTTGTCCCTTGGGAGAGTTACAACACTAAGACTAGATCCAGCAAGGGGCGCCTGTACCTGCAAAGCAAAAGGACCACCGGATGGTCGGTGGTCCGCCTCTGAAGATTAAGTTAGTAATGTATTCGGAGTAAAACGTGCGGAAATAAAGTTATCTGCTTGGTTTCCAAGCTCAGGCGTACTGTATCTTGAGAATGACAGTTCAGACAATGATTGGTATTCAATCAAGGTTAGGTCATAAAAGTTGTCTCTGAAAAGAATCTGATCCCCATAAAATGAGGGGAATGTTCCCTATTTATAGGGCTCTAGGAATGTGTGCCCTTTATAGGGTTTCGTGCCCTAAGAAAGGGCACGCCGTTTTTGCAGGGGGCCCTTGGGATTTGGGCCTTGAAAGCCGCCATTCCCAGGGGGCCAAATCTGCCTACCACGTGTCACCATCTTGAAGGGCCAGGGTGGCGCCTCTTCCAATGACACGTGGCAGGCTCGGATTGGGCCAGCTGGTTGGGTAAAAATACCCAAATCATTTGCCCCTCACAGGGAACACGCGCTTGCCACGTATCGCCTGTGACAGGTGTCAGGATCTGGCTTGCCGAATTTCAAATTTACTATTGGAGGGAAAAATTAAGGTTTTACCCCCTCTATAAATAAAAAGGTTTGACACCCCCCCTTGGATTCACACCTTTGCGAATCTTGGAGAATCTCTGGACTTCTGAATTTCAAAGACTCTCAAAGACTTAAACTTATCAAGCATCCGACGCTCGGCTTTCTGTCCGTCTGTTCCTGCAAACCAAGCGTCTCCTAGTACCTTCTTCTAAGGTAACCGCCTGTTCTCTTCTTTTACTTATTTTTTTTGCATTTTTCTTTATCAAAATGGTTTCCCAAACGCACCCGGCACGGCTAGATTAGCGATCAGCCGGTCACCGGGACGGCTGAATCTAGAACTAGGAGTGTCGAATGCTCGTTTGAGAACTTTGCTTTAAGTACATCTCCAAATCCGACAGTGTCTGTGCATCTGCAGGACACGATGGCCAGAACAAAGCAAACAACAAGGAGATATAAGGCGGATGGTTCCTTTTACCATTCGGACAGTGAGACTGTCAATTCTGATGGCTCCATTAGGGTGCCTGCCAGTGAAATCTCTGAAAACCCCCCAAACCATTCATCTAACCTTCCCCAAACTCCAACTTGTTATTCTTCCCCTTCTTCGAGCGGCACCCCCAGCGATACCATACTGCGGGAAGCCGACAGTCAATACAAGCCCGAGCCTTCAGAACAGGCGTCGGAAGAGAGTCTAGGGGAGGACCCTGCTAGCCCCAATCAGCAGTCCCCCAGCTCTGGGGAGAGCTCTGATGACGATACGGCCTCATCATCCTCTGAAAATGCCTCCATTACTTCAGAGGAGGCCAGAGCAAAGATAAGCACGGTAAGGGAGTCCTTCTCAGTGGAGAGGGGAGAAGGCTGGGCCGAGCCGAGTGCTTCTAGGCGCTTGGAACGCGCTCCCTACTATCATCATGTTCCGCAAAGCAAGCGGACTTCTATGACATCCGGCCTTGCCAACTTTAGGCGCAAGACCGTAATGGGTCATGGCTTTTCCTTGTCTGTGCCGAACAAGGATGATACAATACCCTGGACGATTTTGGCCAGCTATAAGGACCTAGCATTTGGCTGCTACGAGGCGGTCCTCCAAGCCGGTCTGCGCTTCCCTCTCCATCCGGCCGTGGAGAGAATATTGGACGGATACCAACTGGGTATCTGGCAACTTTTCCCGAATTCCTAGATTAATATTATCGGGTATGTTGCCGCATGTGACATGCTGGAGGTGGAGCCCGGCTTTGAGGCATTCGCCCACATGCACTATCTCAGCCGAGCGCCGGCCAAGGGCGACGAAGGCTGGTACACCTTGTCCACCTGCAAGGGGTACATGATGGCAGTTGGAAAGGAAAACAAGTGGAAGGACTGCATAACAAAGTTCTACATAGTCCACTCCTCTGATAGCCGACTGAATTGGAAATACAATAGGTGGAACAAGGATCCGCCCCTCCTGGCTGGCAAAAGTGCCTTTCCCCCTCTCCCTAGGCGGGCCCAGGAGGTAATGTTTGACAGGGGTTTGTTCAAAGTGTCCGTCCGGACAAATGAGCAGGGGGAGAAAATAGTCGTCTCTTAGAGCTACATTCCCCTATACAAGTGGTTAGAGGATGGGGTGTTCTTGGCCGCTTGTGGGCTAAGTTCTGAGATGCCGAGAGGTAGTCGACCGTTTGATTTTATGCAACTTTAAATTGCTTTTCAATGATCGTTTACAAATTCTAACTCCTGCTTTTGGTGCAGACAAAGCCATGGAAAAGATCTCAGCAACGAGGAAGCCGGCTGCTGTCTCTGCGGCGAAATATCGCTCGAACGTCCTTAATCAAGCGGGTGACTAGCAAAAAACAGTCGGGACCCCCAAGGTAGTTGTTTATAAAACTTGATATTTTTTAGCAAGGTCAATTTTTGCCCGCCTGTTTTCTGACGCCTTTTCCTTTTGCTAATGCAGAGTGGCTCCACCAGACCTTCTCCCTCTAAGCAATCCCAATCCAAAATCCAAAAGACTGGGACGGGTGATGTGAGTGCATCCGACAAGAACCGGAAGCACATTGCTCACAAGCTTAAAAGAGGAGATGACTCTACTCTCAAAGCTGACAGGGAGGTCAGCAAACCGGATGCCAATCAGGCATCGAATGGTGGCTTTAAGCAACCCACTACTGTTGTCGGCTCAGCATGCCCTATTAGTAACTGGCATTAAAAATGCTAGTTACTAAAACACCACTAGTAACTGGCTAAGATAATGTAAGTTACAAATAATATGACATTAGTAACTGGCCTTGTAGACGAAGGTTACTAATTTGAAATTTGTCAAGGTTGGAAATTCTATTAGTAACCGACCTAATAAATGTTGGTTACAAATATTGAGTCAAATAAAATTTGACCAAATATTTAGTAACTGGCTTGCAAACGCAAGTTAGTAGTACTTTGTGTCAAAAAAAAAAAATTTATTTATTTATTTTCTAACAAACCTAAGTACAGAGTAGCTTTTTTTTCATTTTTCCACTTGCGTTTTCGAATTCATGAGTATTCTTATATACTCATTTGTCTTCCATTAACTTCGATCTCCTTTTTCCTTGATAAAAATAAACGGTTTTAGAAATTTTCAATTAAAAATTGCTTCTTGTTCATGAAGAATGATCTAAAATTCAGCAAAAGAGGGCTATATGGAGGTTAAAAAGAGGTATGTAAAATTTTGAATTAGGGTTCATGAATTAGGGTTGATGTAATGAACTAAATTATCTCTTTAATTAAATAAAAACCCCAATTAGTTGTGAATTATATCTCTTTTAATTTTTCTTTCCATCTGCTCTACGTTACCTTGGGCTTGCTTAGTTTCCATATGCTTAATTATGTCTTGATGATTTACCAACCATTGGTGATTGATTACAGCAGTTTCGGCTAAATTGTTTACTCTATTGCTCTTAAAAGATTTGTTCATTTCCCAAGTGAAGCCTAACATCTCTCTATTTTTTTCACAAATTCATCCATATTCTGCTTCTTTTCTACCATTTTTGCTGAAATCAGCTTGTAAAGTTCACATTTTTTGAGCTTCGAACCTTCAATTTCAACTTCTAGATAACTGGATTTGGGTAACTTTCATAATCCCTTCATCTTTTTTTTCCCGTGTCCTTTTTAGAAAAAAAAATTCAAATTTTAGCTTCTGGGTACCTCGGTTTGGTAGTTTCTGATTTGTTTTAAGTTGTTTTTTTTTTTTAATTTATGCTTAAAGTGTGGCAATTTGCTCTTTCCATTTTCTGTGGATTTTGGGTTATTATGTTTTGATTTAGTAGTTTTTTTTTTATTAATATTTGCTGCTTTTTGTGGATTTAATTTTGTGGCATTTCTAATACTTCGTATGTATATGCAAGTTTAAAGGGTTGTTTGAAAATTGTTCATTGCATGTGTACCTCCCCTTTTCAATTAGTACAAATTGGTTCAGTTAGGTTTCTTATTTATTTGTTGCTATGAACATGAATGATTCTTTGTAATGTTTAGGATTTGGGTGTTAGTTGACTTTTTTTTTTTTATAATTATCTTGGCTTTATTAGTTGTTGATTCCTTTATGAATTATATCATCTTGACATCCATTTTTAGTATATGGGGGCAATTTTAGTGGTACGGAGGAGTAATTAGCCTAGTGTGTAGAGAATGTTAGAGTCCATTGTTGCTTGACATGTTGGTTTTATCCATGGAGGGTGAATATTGTTGTAGTTAGAGGTATATTCGCACAATCGGTTTCTGTATCTTAGACTGTTTTCAACCAAGTTGATGTTAGTTTCCCATTGAAATCCTTCTTTCAAGGGTTTTCCTGAGATAAAGTTATGTAGAAGCTAGGAAATATAAGCAAATTTGTCCCGCACTTTTCATGGTTTCACCCGGGAAATTATCTAGCTGCGACAAGAAATGGATTTTGATTTGTTTAATCCAATTCCGTTTGCTAAGGATGTGGATTCAACGAATTATCATGTCAATAGGAAGAAAGGAAGGGGTTTTTTCTCACTGAGGTTGAGTTGTCATTGTCCATGTTTAATTCGGGCTGGCTTCATTCTACAAGTTTGATTGCCAATTGTGATTTAACATGCTTTAAAAACTTGGTTTGGTTGCTTGTCACCTGATGATTAGCTGCTGATCATGTTGCCATAAGTAGTTCAAGTAATGATGCTATATTAGAAAGTTCTTTGTCCCTGCACATGTTTTCTTATTGTTTATAAACTAATATTTTTGAGGATATGTTACTTTAAGAAGTAGAAATCATTTCCGGATGGTGGCAGTTGATAATTTATGTCATTGACTTGCTTCAGGGACCATAAGTATTTGTTAATCATGGTAGTGGAATTTGTTATCAATTTCTATCAATTTCTTACTGTGATTTTTCTTTGAACATGGGAATTACTTTAATTTCTTCGACCATGTGGTATTGAAGACACTAATTATTTGAATATGAATCTGCATTTTTTTTATAGTTATTTATTTTGTTTCTTGGCTGGTTTTAGGTTAGGACAGGTAGATTTTGCTAGGAAACATCTATTCTATGCAGCACATCAGCCTGAGGCAACAGAACTCCACAAATTCAAGCAGTGGAGAAGCATTTAAATAGATGCTTTGATGCTCGGAAATTTGGAGAATGGAAAACTGCATTGTGGGAAGGAGATGCTGCGATTGCTGCCGGAGTTGACTATTCTCCTCAGGTGAACTTTTTTTTAGTTGTCAATAGGTTGCTGGAATATTATATACTTTCTATTTTTGGAGAAGTCTATAATTTTCTATTTGGTACCCAAGCTAAGTGATTTAATGAATGTCCATCTTCTCTCTTGTAGAGCAGAATCCCTATAGGTTGCTGGATTATAGTATACTTTCTTTTTTGTAACACGTACTAGTGCAGGGCTCATTATTTGCTTCAAATGACTGTAGGCTCATTTGATTTTTGCAATGGTCCGGGCTCAAATATTACTTGTAATGATGCAGGCTTATCAGGTATGCAATTTAAAAATCTCACTAATCTTGGATATTTCTACAACTATATAAGTGGGCGAAACTGCTAGTTCAGGCACCTAAGAAATTGAAATTTGAGCTACTTCAGTACCTTTCAGCTTGTGTATGTAATAGATTGTTCTAGTTCAGACACTTAAGAAACTGAAAATTGAGCTAGTTCATGCACCAAGCATCTGCTACCTTATGTTTTTGTTGTATTTTATATGTGGCGTTTTGAATTCTGTATTGAATTTATTTATGACTAGTTTTGTCTAATAAGTGAAATTACTGGTTTTGATTTCTGTATTGAATTTATTTGTGACTAGTTTTGTCTAATAAGTGGCTGAAATTTTTCTCGTGAGCTTTGATGTTTATATTCTTTTATATCCCCTCAGTTTGATGCATTGACCATGTTGGAAGCGTTCACTTGGTGACTGTCTAAAACAATCCTTTTTAAATTTTGGCTTTTTTATGTTTATATTTCTTTCCCATGCAGAATTCTGTTGCAATATCAAGTGCTAAGTGTAAACTGCTGCAATCCCATACAGAACAGTCAAATTTGTGAAAGCAGACAGAGACAAAATCGTCAAAATTTGAAGGTTGACCATTGTATCAATTAACTAACTAGCTTTTTTTTAGTTATAGAGTATTATTTATTGTGAACTATGAGAGAAATATTTGTAATTTACAAGTACATCAATTCAATATAATTTCCAAGATGTCGCTTAAAGTTGGTCTTATATTGGCTAGATTGATAGTTATTGTATTTTATTAACAATTAATGGTCTTTACATTAAAAAAAATATAAATGTAGTGTACGGGTGGTGGCAGTAGAGGAGTTTGTTACTGCTACCATTTTATTTTTATTTTTTTAAATTAAAAACATTATTCGTAACTGGCGTTATGCTATGCCAGTTACAAATAATACTATATTTGTAACCGGTATAACTTAACGCCAGTTACAAATAGTATGTTTTCTAACTTTGAAAATAGCCTATTTGTAACTAGCATAAGGTTAAGTCAATTACAAATAATATATTATTTGTAACTAACATTAGCCGGTTACGAATAATATTCATTAGTTATAACGGTGGCATTCGCAACCAACAATGCCAGTTACAAAAAGTCAATTTCGCCGGTTACAAATAGCATTTTTTTCGACTAGTGGCAGGAGAGAAGAGGCGCCATGGGAAGGAGGAGGAGGTTCAGCCGGATGGTATAAACCACCTCTATATTGGATACCATCATGTAGATAGTTTCTTAGAATTTTCTTTACTAATTTTAATCTTGTGGCTCCTGTGCAAAGGCCGACCGTCCTCCAGATGGCCAAGGAGATGCTGAGGGCGCTTAGTCCAGAGGACAAGGCGTCCGTGAGAGGAGTCGGCACCCTTAACTTGGATGCCATCTTGGGGAATCTTTGTGAGGCAGAGAATTATCTTGATTTACTTATTGTTAAGTATATATCCGACTGGTCTTAACCATTCGGCTCTTTACTCATATCCACGCTATGCTGCGCATTCAGGGGCTAAGGAAGCCTCTCCAGGAAAAGTCCAAAGAGGTAACAGCCGCTAAAGCTCGGGTCGAGTCCGCCTTAGACCGAGCTCAATTTGAAATTGCTCAAAATGAGCTACTAACCCTTGGTATGATGTATTCCCAGGCGGTTGCCAACCTGCAAGTAAAGAAGGACCTGGATTCGGCTCGCTCCAAAATTAATGATCTTAAGGCCGAAATTAAAGGTCTTAAGGAAAAGCTTGAGCCTCTGCAGGAGGCCAAGAAAGAAGCCGAGAGGGCCAAGGAGCGGGTTGGCCGCTTGGAGATGCGCCTGGCGAACAAGGAGAAGCAGCTGAAGGCCAAGTTTGAGTCCCGAGCTGAGGAGGAGAAGGAGGCCCTTGTCAAACAAATGATGGAAGATTATGAGGCCATCATGCGGACGGCATGGGAGGCGGTAAAGCCGGGTGCTGACTATAGCACTTGGAAATCCAAATTTGACCAAGCCAACGAGGATTTCAATGCTGGCCTTCTTCGACAAGCTCAAGAGGAGGCGACCAAGGCTGATGCTGAGGGTGAAGAGTCCGACTCCTCATCGGGCTCTCCTGGGGACGAGCAAGGGGACGAGGAGGATGGTGAAAATGCTGAGCAGCCGGCGGGTGAAAATATGGATGATGCGGATGCCAATGTTGAGAACTTTTCCCTTGCTACTTAAGCTTTTTATAATTTTCTTCTGCGGCCGAATGACCATGTATTTGATCTTCCGGCTTGTGTGCCGAGTAAAAATGTATCTTTACCGACCAAGGGGTCAGGTAATTCAACAATTCTCCTAGCTTAGCCAGTTAACTCTTTACAGTCATCAATTTTGACGGCTGTTAATTTTTATGAAGCATCCGGTCATTTGGCCGGTTTTATTTATATTGGTGTTTATGCTTTTAAAAATTTTCAAAGCTTCCAAATTTTATGCATAGAATTTTAGCTAAGTATTTTAGCCTGTATAGTATGCGAATGTTCTTGCCCCTGGACGGATGTCGATTGGTTTCGATTGATTGGATTGATTGAATTGGAAATTATTGATACTTAGAAGAGTATGCATGGCTTCTAAGTCAATCAATCACTATGGTGATTTCCCCAAACCAAGCGACAGACGGCCATGCAGAGCAGTCGATCCTTTGATTTCATTCGGCCATAGGCCTCGTTAAAATAAGATGCTAAGTTTTAATTTAGCTTATTTGTTAAGAAAAAGTATTCCGCCTGGTTTCCCCAAAGCAAAGCAGGCGCATCCGGCCATAAGCCTTGTGTGCGTATAATGCTAATTTTTTGGACTTAGCTTTTTGATTGAGAAAGAATTTTCCGCCTGCCTTGCCCCAGAGCAAAAACAAGCGCATCCCGCCTAATGCCTCGATAGCCTCTAATCATGAAACAGTGACCTCTTTCCAATTGTACTAGAACAATTTGAAAAACTTTCGGCCGTTTAGATTTCACTTTTGATTTATTCAAACAACTATGGATGCTTCCTTAGCATTCGGTAGGGCCGTTTGATGTATTAGTAGAGCAATCTGCCACCCAAATGGGAGATGCTTCTCCTCGACGAATTCGCCCGAATAGACGTCGTCGGTTATCTGACTCATGTTGGAGCAGACGGTCATACTCATGTTGGAGCAGACTGTGGCCGTCGGCCTCTATTGTTTTATTAATATCCGGCCATTGGCCTCTTTAAAAATGGTAAATAGCCGTCAAGTGTTGGACTTAACTTAAAAATAAATTAGTAGGGTCGACTGTTTTGGTACAGGCGGCTCCTTCGGACGGAATGGGGCGTCTACTGTTGGGACAAACGTTTTAAAAATAGGGTGGTCGTCTGTACTTTGTACAGGCGACGCTAGCATAATTTACAAAAATTAGCAAAAATACAAGTTTGGGAAATGAAGACATATTCTCATTAATCAAAACTTTGAAACATTTACAAAAATTCTTAGAAGTAGTACTTTTTTAATTTGTCTACATTCCAAGTTCTAGGCAGCCGCCTACCGTCAGGTTCTTCCAGTCGGTAGGTGCCGTCTCTTACTTCATCATAGATTCGGTAGGGGCCTTCCCAATTTGGGGTTAGCTTTCCCTGCTCATTCGCCCTACCGGCTGCCTCCATTTTCCGTAGCACAAAGTCCCCCACTTTGAGAGGACGCTTGTGTACTCTTTTGTTGTAGGCCCGAGTCATTCTCATACGGTAAATTTCATGGCGCAAGGCAGCATTGCCCCTGCGCTCTGGAAGTGAGTCCAATGTTAGCCGCATGGCCTCCCAGTTTGCCTCTTCGTCATACAACATGATTCGAAGAGTCGGCTCATAGTGTTCGATGGGCAGGACAACTTCTGCACCATACACCATGAGGAATGGGGTTTCTCCAGTTTCCCCTTTGGCGGTTGTTCTAATGGCCCAGAGGACGTGTGGTAATTCATCCGCCCAAAGGCCACCAGCTCTCTCTATTTTCTTTTTGATCCCGACTGAGATTAACTTGTTGAAGGCTTCGACCTGGTCGTTTGCTTGGGGTTGGCCGACTAATGCAAAGAAACTTGAGATCCCCTGGTCTTCTAACCAAGTCTTGAGCTGAGGCGTCTCAAACTGAGGACCATTGTCAAAAACCATAAACATAGGCACCCCGAAACGAATGATAATATTCCTCCATATGAAGGAAATGACATCTTTAGTCTTGATGTTTTTTACCGCCTCCGCCTCTACCCACTTGGTAAAGTAATCCAAAGCTACCAATATATAGTGCTTACCGCCCGGGGCGGCTGCGTAAGGCCCAAGTATGTCCATGCCCCATTTAGAAAAGGGTATTGGGCAGTGGATGGCCGTCAAGTCTGTGGCCGGACGATGGATGAGCTTGCCAAACTTTTGGCACTTGTCACATTTTTTTACCATTTCCATTGCATCCGACTCCAGAGTCGGCCAAAAATAGAGTCGCCTGGCCTTGGCAGCTAAAGACCTGCCGCCTATATGAGAGGCGCAAAAACCCGCATGCAAATCTTCGAGAACTTATTTACCCTTCTCTGGGGTAACACACTTCAACAGAGGTTTCAAAAAACCAGTCTTGAAGAGTTCTCCTTGTCTCAGCTCGAAGTTTGCCGCTTTCTTTTTCAGAACAGCCGCCTCCTGAGGTGAATCAAGGAGCGTACCGTCTGCAAGGTAGGCCCGGATGCTGTCCATCCAGGTTGAGCTTCGGTCAAGAATTTCAATGGGGTCTTCATTAGATATACTTCTCTTTTCCATGACCTCCCAGAAAACTGACCAGGGTGTTTCATAGGAGGCGGATGATGCCAGTTTTGACAGGGCATCCGCCTGATTGTTTGAAGACCTGGGCACTTGATTTAGATGAAACTCCTCAAGTGTCCCGACTTCATTTTTGACCGCCTGCAGATATTTTATCATGGCCGGATGAGTGGTCTCGTACGTTCCATTGACTTGGAGTACGACCAGTTGGGAATCAGAGCAGGCGTCAATTTTCTTTTCCCCTGCCGCCTTGCAATACCGAATGCCGGCTAGCAGGGCTTCATATTCGGCCTCATTGTTAGAGACCTGGAACTTGAACCGTAATGCATATTCGTACTTATCTCCCTCAGGAGATTGACAGATAATCCCTGCACCACAACCATTCGTAGTGGAGCTCCGTCCACATACACTTTCTAAACCTGGCTAGTATTGTCCGGTGCAACCGGCCTTGTCATTTCAACAATAAAGTTGGCAAATTCTTGCCCCTTTATTGCCTTCCTTGGTTCGTAAGTGATTTCCAATCCTTGTATTTCAATCGCCCATTTCAGCATTGGTCCAGAAGACTCCAAGGTTGTGAGTGGCCGCTTGATCGGTTGGTCAGTATAGACTACTACCGCATGCGCCAAGAAGTAAGGTTTTAGCTTCTTGATGGCCATGTAAAGGGCAAGGCCAAATTTTTCAACCATGGGGTACCGAAGCTCTGCGTTCCTAAGAACATGGCTAATGAAATAAACCGGGAGCTGGATGCCGTCTCTTTCAGCTAAGAGAACGGCACTGAGGGCATGATCGGAGACGACCAAATACATGAAGAGCTTCTCTTTGGGAAAAGGGCTAACCAACCTCGGCAAAGAGTGCAGATGATTATTTAGTTTTTGAAAGGTCGTCTCTGCATCATCCCCCCATTCAAAGTTGGTCTTCTTTTTTATTTCCTGGAAGAAGTAGAGACACTTGTCACCTGACCGACTGAGGAATCTCCC